AGTTGTTTCATATGGATGTTGAGAGGTATCCATATATCTCTTCGTTTTGCTCTCAAAGTGCACCAGATTGATGCATTTAACTTCAATATTTAAAAACGTATTAAAATAGTACTTTACCACTACACCCCCTCTAATCTCAGATGCACCCTGAGTCATTTTGTTTAAGTACAGTGAGCCTTTCTGAAATATACAGTAAAGAGACAAACCCACCAGCATTATAGGATATGACTTTGAGCCAAATACTTGTTTTTGGGCTGTATAAATAAATTGACTTGAAACAGTTGCTGATTTAGAGTACTGGCATCTTTTTTATTCCAATTCAAGCACTGGTTAGAACTGGTTTACAAATGGTTCTTAATGATTAATAAAGTGTTACAACCTAATTAATAACCTAATTATTAACCCTTTATGAATACTTTATAAGGGTAGTCTTATTGTAAAGTGGTACCCATATTTTTAATGTATAGTGTTGAAGATTTGCTCATTTTGAGTTCAGTAAGAGATGGAGACTTTGCAATTTAGGACACACATTTTACAGCTAAAATAAATACAAACATTAACACTTGCTGCTACCCGCAATCACTGCATGGTAGAGATGTGGGATGCAAAACAATTAACTCCACACTGAGTGGGAGAGATGAGGTCAGCAGGCACATGAGATGAAATTACTGTGTGAGCACATACGAAGTTTCCAGACTCCAATCTTTACAAGAATATTGGGAAGGTACAGGGAGGACAGATATAACATAACATAGATAACATCTCAAAGTAAAATGCACACTGACAACATGCGTGTATACTTTTGATTATGTTTCTACGTTCCTGAATTGCAACATTGGCTGCACCCCCATCATAGTAGGTTATTTTTGACAATCCGAAACTTCGCATTTAAACTGGAATTTTGAAAAAAACTGACGAAAGTCTTGATTCATTTATGTAAATTCAGCTGTTTCTTTTTTGAAAAGTGAAATATATGTTCAATAGATTCATTGTCATGTGACCAAGTGAGTCCAAACCAATGGAGCATTGTATTCATTCACTGGATGAGACACACCTCTTTTCAAAAACACTTTAAATCACATTAAATAAAAATAAGTGTTTGATACTTGTCCAGTGTAATACAGTAATACAATTCTACATTGATTTGGAGTAACTGAATAACAATGCATTGCATTTTTTGAAAAGAACATCCAACTTTAACAAATAATTGTCCTCAAGTGAAAAGTGTACACGATAAACTCAATTTGTGTTGTCTGAGATGAAACAAGGAAATGGATCAATGTCACAGGAACAATAGGTGGTGTTTATCTTACCCAAGCTGGCTGACATCTGTCATCAAATCCCTTTCATTTTGTACAGAGACAGCTTTGTCTTTCAGTACAGAATGTAACTTAACATTGAGTCCATAAGTACATTTAAAGTCTTCAGAAATTGCGGTCTTTGCTGTGTTTGCAGGACAGCACTTACCAGGGGGGCATCTCTGGCAGCACAGGTCAGTTCCTTCTAACAGATACTCTGTTTCTAAGTTGAGACAGGTTCCACCTGCATCTGCGTGATAGGGCTGAGAGCAGACCTATGGGAAATAGAGACGATAATTGAATGCAATCATCTTATGCATTTGAGACAAAGAGTGTATATTGTTTAAATGCTCTGTTTAAAATGAGCTGCATTAAGGCTGCTGGGGGGCTTTAAGTTAAATAGTCTTTTAGACATTCTGAGAAGCGTTTTTTTAGGCCACTTTTGTTCTAGACAGACATATTGACTGGAAGCAAGTAGCCTATAGTCATTAGGTGAAAGAGAAAATAAACACATTGGTCCATGACTGGTTATATTTTTAACCCTGCTAAATAAAAGCTTAAATTAGTGCCAAACTACCCACACCAGCGCCCACATCTTCCTTTCTAGTAATGCTGCTGGCCTGAGCTGCAGACTTCAAACAGGCAGTCATTGTTCTGAATTTGAAAGAGGTGCATTTCCCCGCAATGGTCTTCCTCTCTAAAAAGCCTTCTAAAAATGTTCAGGCTCCGGACACTGCACACATGCACCCTCGCAGTAAAGCAGGAACAACCTCCCCCTACCACACATACTAAATATCATGAACACATGCTGCTGAAACCGCAGTAATGATGTGCATGTGATGTGTATTGATGTGCATGACACAGAGCAAAGTTGCTGATACACCTGTCCTGTGCACGAGAGTTGAAAGGCTTTCACCACAGTACCCTCCACTTATAAGCAGAAGAGAGAATATGCTGACAGAAGCAGTGTGTTTCTCGGATTACAGGAAACAGGAGGTGGGTTACAGTAGAAACCCTTGTTTCTGAAGCGCATTCTTCTGTCGTGTGACCGCAGGTAGAAGCGGATGTGATGATAAACACATGGAGCTCTGCGCTATTAATTACCTCGGCTTATCACAAAATTGTTTTTTTCCTTTTTCCCGTGGCTGCATGCCCACACTTACTTATCCTTATCAACAGAAACCGAAATGATACTGTAAACTAGTAGAAAGGATGTTGCATAATGTCATAACGTGATAATGAAAAGGTATCATCATGACCATGCACTCTAAACCAAATATTCTGACAGGTTCAACACATCAAAGTCAGATTACAGACTGCTGTAATACAACATTGTGTCATACAGTGCAAAGCTGACATTGATACAGCAAAAAAATGCTTTAAAGAAATAATAAATTCCACTTAATTGGCTCCCGGACAGGTGACACAGTTAGCTGAACTAAAAACATATTTAAGGCATAAAATGTATAAATGAACATTTCAGAATAATAGAACAGAGATCATATTACACCTTATTTAAATGCTGATTTTCCTTTTTAGTTTCTCACTACTTTGAGTGAATTAAGGAAGTTCAACTATATTCAACAATTCACATTATGTTTGAACAGTTAGTCGGACATCAGAAGAATCCGGATGTCCAGAGTCCTTGTTATACACAGCAAACATGCATGACAGATTCACACACAGACACAAAGCCTACCTTGGTAGTGAAGCCACTCAGGAGAACCAGCAGTACAAGTATTTCCTTCATTGCCTCTCTAAAGCAGGTTGTAAACTGTAGAGGACAAAGTCACCAGTGTGTACTTATCATTTTATAAAGGCGGGCCAGCAGTGCTATGAGGAGCCATTTCCTTGAACTGAGTCGAGTGTTTGGAGGAAGGAAACAAGCAGGCAGGCTCTGAAATGCACTGAGATTGAGTTGAGAGGGGGTTAAACACTCATGCTGTGCTCCCCGCTGATATTAAGTGTCTATATACAGGATCAAAACACAATTCATATTAATTAATTATTTCATCTTTCTTTACCTGCAGCTGATTAGGGGAGCAATGCAATGGCTGTACACTCCCTTTGAAATATACATAACATATCATTTTAAAACACTACATGAAATAACTTTATTGTTGCTTTTTTTTTAAACCAAATCTGTTTGCATTAAAGTTAACATGATATAGTGGTCACATCATTAATTAATTAATAAGTTAAGTGAAGATCAGCTCTGTCTAGGGTCCTATCTGAGATCCAACTTTTGGTGAATTGTTTGCAATACCAGAAATCCTTTCAATCCAAGAACAATATTAAGGTCTCCCTGCTGGAATTATAAATACGGACCCCCCTATATGACAAGTTATCATCTAATTTCACCATTCATTAATGAACTTGAATAGCATAAAGGTTGCAAAACAATTAGAACATGAAAACTAGGAAACTTTCTATGCTGCTCCCTCGGTGATTAATCTGCTTCTATCAGTGGCAAATTAGCAGAACTGACTCACTGTCAACTACCCAAACAGGAAGTGGACCCACTTGGATTTTCATTGTTATTCATACACATAGTTGTGTCTGCTGGTGTGCTGCATCCACTGTAAAAGCGAAAGTTTTAGGCAGGATACGAATCAGGATATAATCATTTCCAAGTAAGAAGCCGCGCTGCTGTTTCAATGCTGTGGCAGAATATTGTGGTTAAAAATAACACAATACATGTATTTTTGTTCCACATAAGTGATTTCAGAAATCACTTTAACCAGAGGCTCTAAAGCAAACAATAACAACGTCACCAACTTTACACATTGAGCTCCCTGTGCACATGTGGGAATAAAGGTTTCTTTCATTGCACTCCAGGCACTACTGAGTAATGTAGTCAAAACATGTCTTCTTATAACCCAGCCACAGAACTGAATGTCTGCCAGATTCACACCCCTATGCCCTGATCCTGTGTGAGATGTTGACATTCCACAACCCACAACATTTCTCTGGTACTCATATACACCAAGAGCATTACTGTTCTAATGTAATTCTGATGTGTTTTTTTTAAATAATCATAAATACACAGTTCACTCACAACAGCAGAAGTGAAACCTTTTGGCTTTAGGTTTGCCAAATTAAATCATAGTATTAACATATTAGATGGCAGACATGCTACCTCTGAAAATACTGCCTGGCTTTATTCTCTCTTGCTGAAGTCACATTGTTAAATCAATATTCAGGGTTTTTCGGTCTGATGATATGTTTACTGAACTGAGAATATAGAGCAGGCATTATGTCATTTGGTCTCAAGTGAGCAAGTTTCATATCCTGTTAACTTGTGTGTCAAAAGGCAACATACGGCTGTCTGAGGGTTAAAGAAAGGTATTGAATTACAAAGAGAGCTAAACAATTCACGTTATTAGCTGCACTCAAGTTTTTAAAATGATGATAATCCCCTGGTTAACTCCCTTTCATTAAAACCAATCAGCTGGTACCTTTCAAATATCATTGAGGTTCTGAACACTTCTAAGTCTCTAGTGTTTGATAAAAGTTTATTGATCTTACATCTAAGATCTTTTATTAAGATCTTTCAGTTTCAACTCCATATAATAGCTGTCCAATGGGCAAAGCATAACAAATGCATATAAGGGTTTGAAGATATGATACGAGAACAATGATATAAACTTCAGAAGTGGCATTTCCTTTCAACACTGCTTGTGGTATAAAAAAAAGATCAATCACTAAGCCTCATTTCACACAAAGTTTCCCAGATGTGAGATAATGATGAGATGACGAGCACACTGCAGGCACTTTGCTTTGAACAAGCTGTTTGTGCTATAACTTCAAAGAGAAGCAGGTTCCTCGCTCAACAGGAACTAAAAGAAATGCAGATATGTCCCTGTTGAAGTGACTCACATCAAGAATAACAGCACATTGATGTTTCCTTTACTTGGACGTTTATTTTGATGATTTAATCGAACGTGTCCAAACACATGTTGATATACTTAATTCTTCAAATATGTAAGACTGCAAGACACACATTGGAAAATCTGACGTGTCGTAAGTGGGATTGCTACAGACTTTAGGTATACAGTAGGTTGGTGGGGTTTCCTGTAAATCATGCTTCTGTCCGACAGTCAGGAAGTGTCAAAGGAAGTTAGAAACAGAAGTATGTGTGAACCTGGGAGCCAAAGCAAACAGCTGGGAAGGGCAACAGAGAGGAATCACAATGACTTGTTCTGAAATGTACCATGTGCAATTCTAAACAGTCTGCACTATGGGGTAACATTGTGAGCTGTTGCTTCACCTTCACATAACTGCTGACACTCACATGTAGAGTCTAAATCTGTCCCAACTTGGAAGATCAGCGGTTTGATCACTGACTCAGCCAGTCAGCATGTTAAAGTGTCTCTGGGAACTACACTAAACCCCAGATGGCTTTTAAAGACATAGCCATTGGTGTGAGTGTTGGCCTATTATTGTAAAAGTAGAGCTATATAAACGCATTTCCATTTACTGGTAAACTGGCTTGTAATTAGTCACATGACATGGAATTTCCATCTCTAAGTCATTACATTTCAGCACCTGACATATTTGAAAAACATGTTTTAAATTAATCTATTTAAAAGAGAAAGCACTTACTACTGTTGTTTCATTCCCTTTTAAATCACTGTTTGTTTGTTTCATATTGAAGAATAATAAATGAGCATCAAAAAGGAAAAAGTTTTGGGTGAGGACAAATGGCAAACAGGAACTTTTATAATCACTTCAAAATAGCCTTTGATTGTCTGTCAGTGCAAAGGGTAAAATGTGCTTCCTAGTTTTCTTTTGGAGGAGAAGTGTTGGAAGTTGTGACGAGCCAAGCGAGACACATCGGAGACCTGGTTTTCGGACACTTTGTGTGAAGAGAGATCCTGAAAAGTATGAAAAGCACCATATGAGAATATTAATAATATCTGATTAAAAAAAGGTCCGAATTATTTTAGGTCGAGACAGAAAGCCTGTGGTGTCTTACCTCGAGTTCCTTGTTCTCTGACGTAACGAGACTGCTCCGCAGATCGAGGCTGCTGGGGGGGGGCAGCGTGCTCTGAGCTGTGTTGGACCAGCCTGAGAGACAGTGCTGGACAGGACCAGGGTAACACATGAAGATAAAAATACTTTAGTACACTGATAAAACTTAAGTTTAATTTATGTCAAACTAAACTGGCACGTATTAAAAGTCATCAATTATCCTACAGTGGGGTCTCTTACTGACCGAAGGTAACCCAACACTATCAGAGGGGTCAAAACTGCACCGGCGATGAGCTTTGTATTTGTAAGGAGGCAAGAGGGTGGAGCGAGGGATGCTGATCCTTAAAAATAAAACAAAAGATAAAACACGTGAGGCAATAGAACCGCTGCAACATTCATAAAACATGGTGCAAGTTGAATTTAAACTTCACAAAATGGTATTGTTGATTATAAGAGTTATCTATTTAAAATACAACAAACAATACAGTTTTTGGGATATTTTTCGGGGCAACCAGTGCCTTTATTACAGTGATAGATATGAAATGGGGAGACACAGGGGTTGACATGTGGCAAATGGTCCCGAAAAAATGGCTGATCCAGGTAATGCTTTTATGTGTGGGCATTGCATGGATTTGAAATTCCTAGTCAACCTGTTCCTGCAGGAGTTTTCAACATTCTCAAATGATGGACCCTCAAAAAGACAGACTAGCAATTATTATTACATTTATTTTTCACTTTTTAATAGTTAAACAATGTTTGATAAGACTAAGGGAACGGGTGACTCCTGGGATACCTGAGGATGCCTGACCATACGCCTTAACTTTTATTCTGCTTTCAAGTGTTTAAAAGAACACACTTAAACACACTTCCACTCCAGGTACCATTATCCTGTCGTCTTGTGCAAAGTGCTCTGTTGTTTCTAAGTTGTCATAGCAGGCAGTAAAGGTGAACATGATCATTACCTGATGAGAGCTGGATCAGCAGTAGTGTGAGGATTTGAGGATTTGAGCTCTTTGCACACAGGGCAGCTCTCCTTAGAGTGAAGTGGAACGGGGAACAGTCTGCTGTTAATTCTGTAAGAGAAAGTACCTGAAAAAAGGAAAGCAGGCGTACATGAGAATTGCTTCTGCCATCATGAAAATAAAAATGGGACTAGGCTACTCAAATAAATAACCCTCTTACATTGATGAGTGTCAGTGCTGGCCTCTGGACCGTGTTTGTTGGTTAGCGGTGGCAAGACCGATTGGTACTCCTCAGGAAATCTATGAGAAGATCAAATTAATAGTAACTTAATGATGGCATCATCAATCACAGGCAGACCTAACAACAACATCACCAGTAAGTGCAATCAAGGGTGAAGCACTCACTCTGCTTGTGGGCTGTGGACACAGTCGTCTTTATTTAGTGATCGAAATGTGCGTAGGTCATTGAAGAACTCGTCAGAACGCTCTATCAAGGAGTCCTCAGCATCCAGGACTCCTTGGAGGGAACAAACATCACCTGTTATGGCTGACTGTGTGTATCAGAAATGAACAGGAGGATCAATCAATCAATCAATCAATCAATCAATACCTGCTATCCAGTCATATCCCAGCAAAGGCTGCAAATGATGCCTGTCTGAGGCAGATATCTCTTCGTATTCATCAGACTGAAATGTGACGCGACTCTGAACATCCCCCTTTTTAAAAACAAACATGTGATGCAAAGTATTGGTGACAAGCATGTTTCACTATCAACAAATCTGCTATTTGAATGCATAGTTTCATACAAAGCCAACACATAGCATAACATGCACAGTGTTAGGCTTGTCAATGTGTTTTTGTACTGAGCAAAATATAGGAAAATCAAGAAGGACTTTTGGAAACAGAGCAATTGTTTGACTCCAAATTAACATTTTATTCTATGAT